ATGACTTGAGAACAAAAGAATGAAGGTGAGAAAAAACAGCCGCGGTCACTTTTGCTCCACGGAGAAAATTCTGATCAAAAGTACAAAAAGCTAGGAAAAAGTGGAAATGTTTACGCAACGCCTTCAAAGTGATGAACCTAATAGGGGAGAAGAAGTGCGTTTTCTGCCTCTTCGGGGGGCCGTAATGAAAGAAGACGTCGATCAGACTTTTCCTACTTCTTCTTCTTTTTTTCCTGCCCTCAGGGCTCGTCTCCTTGTTTTTCGGCTTTGTTGAAGCCTTTTCGACGAAAGGTTTATGCAAAACAGCTAGAAAGAATTGCATTTTTTTCGCTTGGCTAGAAATTGAATATATACAAACGTTGACAAATGGAAAAATAACTTTTGAAGAGACGTCTTTATGAAGGAGAGAAGCCTCGAGAATAGAAATAAACTGAGAATATTGGCAGGAAATATGGTTATTTTTCAAGGATTTGAATACTAGGACCTTGGTAACGATAACCGGACGTTTCTGAACCTTCTAGGGAACACTTAAGAAAGCTGAGAACCCTAAAGTGGTCACTAGAAATGCCCCAACACGTTCGGTTACCCAAATCCAGTAGGAAGAAATTTTGAAAAACTTTGAAAAGCAATTTTTTTTCCACTCATATTCCCCTAGATCGAGTTATCCATGGAAAAATCCTCAAAAGAAATTAAGGAACTTTTCCTAAATAAAAGTATTTCTCAGGACCAGAACTGTTTCAAACAACTTGCTCCCTCTACAGAAATAAAAAACTGTTCCGAGTTTTCAAGCTACAAATCAAAACTTTCCACCCAAGACCTCTTAATCAACTACAAAAAAAATCTGAAGATCTTCTCCTTTTATAATAAATGTCGAAAATAACTGAGAAAACCGAGAGCGCGAAGGAGGAAGGGATAAGAGTGGCGCAAAAAGCAAAGAAGCATCAAGTAACCCTCTGAAGCTCAAATTTCCTGCTTCTCACACACGGCGCCGTGTCCAATTATATGCTTTTTCTCACTTTCCATAACCCAAAATAGTTTTTTCCGAGTGGTTATGATCAATGTAGACTCGAGAGAAAATTGGCAAAAAAGGACTGAAGAGAGTGGGATTCGAACCCACGCCCCCGAAGGGACTGGTGCCTTAAACCAGCGCCTTAGACCGCTCGGCCATCTCTCCAACTGGCGGCGGTGGTAGCCTCGGCGGGTTATATAGGCTCTCTCGTGTGTTGTGATAGTGCTGCGGGTGGAAAAAAGATCAAAAAATCATTTTCTCTCCTAGTTCACTTGTATTACAGTTTGAAATAAGAGATTTTCAGTGGAGAAGTCGAAAAACTGACTTTTTGAGCTTTTTTTTTTTTACCAACTTTTAAGTATGGGAAAAAAGAGAAGAAATTGAAAACTGAAAAACGACAACTCAATTGTTTAAAAAAGCTTAAAGTCCGAAAAGCTTCCTAAACTAGGCTTCTACCTTCACCCTATCTATTTGCTTCAAATTAACCATTTCGACTATCAATAAACTAACAATTATTTTTAAATTACAATCAAAAAAAGAGCCCACAAAAGCACAAATTTCTTCTGAAAAAAGACCAGAAAAAGTCCAAAAAGCACATTGAAAAAAAGGAAAACAAGATGAAGGAAGTGTGGAAAAACCCGGGGTGCAATTCCTCTCTGATGACAGCTGGGGAGAAGGAAAAAAACGTCGGAAACCGATTGATTTTGATCAATCATTCTTCTTCTCGTTTACGCTTTTTCTCGTGTGCTCCAACAACACTTTTTTCGCCCTCCATGAGGTCGAGAAATGTTGGAAATCGCGGAAATTCGCTTTTTTTGAGCTTGAGAAAAAAATTTTTCAGCTTCTTGAAGCAAAAAAATTCATCAAAAATTATAAAATTTGAGGCTTTTTTTCAAATTTCTAAGCCCTTAAGTTTTGGAACTTTGAGAATTTTAAATTTTACGGCCAAACAAGGAAAAATCTATATTGTTTTCACAGAGCGCAAAGAAACTGAACAACAATGAAAAAAATCTTTTTCATTGGTTGGCAAGTTTTTTTCATGAGTCCGGAATCTCAAAAAAATGCGGACCTTTACAGCAGAAAAAAACTGCAATTTCAGATATATTTCATTTTAAACATCAATAGAAGGCAAAACTGTCCAAGAAAAAACTACAGTGCATCGTTAATTAGTGAAAATATCAACGAACTTGAGGAAATTCGGAGATTTTCACAATTTTCAAATGTAAAATTTCGATTCTTATCATAAATTTCATACAAGCAAGAAACTAATATTCCTTATTCCTTGCATTTTTCGAAATTTCCTCCATTCCTCAGCATAAAAAAACAAAAAAATCTACGAAAAATACCTAAAATTTGGATAATCTTCACATTTACGAAAAAAAGTGAGTTGCAAAAAAATTGCCCCTTTCAAATATTATTTTTTTAATTTTTTTGCTTCAATGTATTTTTTTCTTTTCTTTTGAAATAAATTCATTTTTATGCATAAGAAGATAATATGGTGCGAACATTGATTATATTTATTTCAGACAAATTATTAACCGGTTGAAACGTAACCTTCACAGCTCGGTTTCATTAGAAATGAACTTTTTTGATAAAAATTTTCGATTATTCCTTCGTCAAAAATTGAGCTATAAGGTCTAATTTTTGGATATTGTGGAAAACTCAAAAGATTGAACTTTTCCTTCTTTTTCACTGTCCGTTTTATTTTTGGAGGATATCAAATTGAAAGAGATTTAGCCTTTAAAATTTATTGATAGGCATTTTTCAAGTTTGAATTACACCAAATGATAATTTAAAATATGAAAAAGAACCTGTCAATTTTCATGGCAGGATCAAAAGATTTTCAGTCGGTTTTGATTTTAAAAAAATTATTCTCGACAGCTCGCCTAAAAAAATAACCTCAAAGTTAAAAAAATAAATGAAAAAAACCTATTGAAACTCGACGTCGGAGTACTCCATAGTTTTCAAAACGAAGATTCGCAGAAATCCACGGGAATCTCAAAGATATTTGTACTTTCTTCGATATTTTTCAACCTAAATGACATATTATAATGAAATTAACAATCTAATTTCAAAACAAAGCAAAAATAAAAGATTTTCATTCGTAAAAGTCAAAAAATGACACTAAAGTGAAGCGCTGGAGCAGACTTACAGCGAAAGTTCGAATTTTTCTTTTTTTTTCAGGAGAAGCATGATAGTAAAAATTTTTACTTGATAAAAAGCTTTTATTTTGGTTCTTGAATATCTAACTTTTTGTCAGGGCTAATTAAGCGCCTATAAAATGTAATTTCATATATTTTTGATGTCGAAGAAGTTCTTAAGCTTTAATTTTCAAAAATTTGTTAGCTATAGCCTTTTTCAAAGCTTTTTCAACCTGTCATCTAACAATATTCACAAAAAACTCTTATCTTTAGGTTCCAAGTCAATTTTTATTTCTTAAAATTTCTGGATACTCACTTTTTTTATACATAAAATTCGATTCATATCTCGTCCATCGTTTTTCGGAGTCGAGTCCATGAAAAAAATCTGTATTTTTCAATTTCCAGATATATTATTTAGTTCGGTTTGTCAAAAATTTCTCTATGAACCTTTTTTTAGAGCTGTGCGAGGATCAATTCTGTAGCCGGTCGAAGCAAAAGAAAAAGAGAAAAAAAGGAACTTGATTATTTTTTTAAAAAATTCTGGTCCACCGTGGATTCCTTTTCATTTTCAGTCAACTTCTCATTGATTTTTGATGGTGAGTTCAAATATTTTTATTTTTTTTGTATAATTCGACTCATTTCAGATCGATTCTCCTCTTTTACACAAGTCTAACGCAAAAAAATTCCTTGAGGAGTTTAAAAAAATAACAATTTTCGACAAGTCGGAGGGAAAGATGATGAAGAATTTGTTGTATCATCAGGTTTGTATTTTTTTTTTTTTTATGAATCTTCAACTGTTTCCAGGAGTTTTAATTGTGATTTTTTTGCATAAATAGTTTGAAATTAATTAAAAATTAGCTTAAAAATTCAAAAAAATTGAAAAAGACGTTTTTTTGAACACTTTCTTCCGAATAGAAGGCAAATAATTTGTCAAATCAATTTTGATAAAGTCTTTTTCGAGTTTAATTTCAAATTATATGATAAGTGAACTCGATTTCCGCTCATGAGTCACGAAATACCCTTAAGGATTTACTTGAAACCATTTTTTTCTAGTTGTAACCAACTTGATCAAATTTTTTTAAAAAAATATTCATCGAGTATCTAGAAGTTGCATATTCACTTTTTGTACATTTTTAGTGAGAAAAAGGTTGAAAGTCGGCTCAAAAATCCGAAAACCCTTTAGAAGTCACTCGGAAAGGATTTTCTCTTAGTTTTTCTCCGTTCTATACAAATCCATTGAAGGAAAGCGTTGAATGATGTTCAAAAATTGGAAAGTTTGGGATTCACACGTTGAACTTTGAGTTAGGACCCATTTCATACGAGGAAAAGCTCGAAACTTCGCTCCGAAAATCACAAAAATCCTTGAGACGCTACTCGGAAAGGATTTCCTCGGGTTTTCTTTATTTTTCCACTCACTCCCCTACACTCGAACGATATATAAGGAAAAAAAGCCGATTTTAGTTTTTTAATATACTTTCTGGTACTTCTGCTTCATTTCTATAGAAGAGAGGCTCGAAATTTCGCGCCAAAGATCACGAAAAACTCTTGAGACGCCACTCGGAAGGGATTTCCTTGGTTTTTCTCCCGCTCGAACGATATCTAATCTGATAAAAAGGGTCTGAACGAAAAACAGCGCCGTTTCGAAACGCGGATCGCTGTTTGCATTTTGCTTTTTGCCCGAATTGCCGACGCCGGAGCCGGTCATCGGGCGGCCTGGACGGCGGCTCGCTGACAGCTCCTGACAGCCGCCCTCTGGAGGCCCTTCTTAAAAGACGGCCCTTTCCTCACATCTCACAGTCCCGAAACAAACTCACACATCTTCGGTTTTACTCACCGAGTATTTATTTACAATGCGCTTCAGGTAAATATTTACTGTTGGTTTGATTTTTGTGAGGTTCTTTGTCCATTTTTGATTGGTGAAAGGGTAGCTTTTGAATTTTTAAAATTTATTCAGGGAAATAATAAGATTCTCCTTACAACTTTCTTCGTTTTGATGTTTTTTTAGTACTGATAGGGATTTTTCAACCAATATTTTGTCTACTAATTCTTAATTTTTCAAAGTCTATACTGAGTTTGTACACGAAAAGATCATTTTTCCCTGAATTCGGGTTTTTTAGGCTTTTTTCTTGAAGTATGAGTATAGCCCGACGAATTCGAGTTTTTTTGTCTTTTTTAGGACCAATTTTCAAGTTTGTTTCAAGTTTTTTTTTTCTGTAATTATGGTCAGAAAATAAGTTCGCATATTTTTATTCGACAATATTTTATTTTCTATGAGTTCCAGCTTAATATTTACATTGATTTTATTGTTTCCAATTTTTTTGTGATAGCTAAGGTCAATATTTAGTGGATTTGAACTATTTTTTTTTGCTTTTTATTTTTGGGGTGCCTAGAAAAGTTCATTTTTGGAAGAATTATTTTTTTTTAATTCTTCGATTTTTTTCGATTTTTTTGACGGTATGAAATTTTTTTATATTATTGTCTTAAACTTGTTAAGAACAGTTCGAAGTTTAAACTAATATTTTGCGAAAACTGAGCTTCTGAAAAAAAATCTTGTAACTCTACCTCTGTGAAAATAAATTCGATAAAAAAATCCAGAAAATACATTTTATTCAGACCTTACGATGCTGCAAAAACGCATTGTTTGATTTTTGGAGCGATTGTCCTTCATTTTTTGACATGACAGTGTCAAAGCGCGCGCCGGACCCGTCACGGTTTCCGCCTCCTTTGTCTGCAAAAAATTGAGCTTTTTATAGAGATTTGACAGTTCTCGCTGGATGCATTTGTTTGCTCATGGTCTTTGGAGATCTGATTTTTTTGGGATTCCAAATAAATGATGTGAAGCTTTGAACTTGGCCGCACTTGGGATGGTTCAAAGCTTTGCGTTGAGCCATTCCAAATGCGACCATACTGCACCATGCAAGAGCTTAACAAGTTTTGGTGTCTCTAATAATTGATAATGACACATGGCGCAAGCCTTTCCTAGTCGGATGCAACTTAAATTTGAGCCATTCCAAATGCGGCCGAGCAAATGTACCTTGCCCTCAAAATGGCTCATTGCTCTACCTCTTAATGATGTCAAAAAGCGGAAGTCGTTACTAGTCGGATGCGAATTTAATTTAAGACAATCCAAGTGTCAGAACGAGAAAAATTAAAAAATTCACTCAAGTGCTCACTCAAAACCTTTCAGCAGAGCTCGAAACGCATTAGCCTTACTCTTCCTGATCGGTTCATCCATCGCCGATGACGTCATCGACTCGTCGACGCCTTCAGAATCCTCTTCCACCGTCGAGCCAGAAGACGTCACGGTGACCCTCGATGAGAAGCCCCTCGACGTGAGAGCTCTCCTGGAAATGACGTCATCTGAATCTGATTTCAGGACGACATCGACAGCGAGCTTCTGGCGAAACTCGGCGTCGCCAAGGACATGCGAGGCCGGAAGAGAAGTTGGTCATTTCTTGGGTTGCTCTGAAGTGTTCGCATTTTCGAGTCGTCCTTTCTAATTTTGAAGTGCCCGCATTTTCGAGATTTTCCCTCCTTATTGGGTTCTTAAAGTTAGCATTGGAGTTTGAGCCTTGGAAAACTTGAAAAGAAGCCTGTTTGAAGTCCATAATTGCTGATTTCAAAAGTGACCGCATTTTCGAGATTTTTTCTTTCTAGAAGTTCCTTTAGAGTCTTTTACTTTGAAAAATATCTGATCTTACAAGATTTTTACCGTCTCTTCTAGCTTCTGAAGTTTATTTTTGCAATAATTTTTGAGATTCACTTTTTTTATGATAGCTTATCACGTCTACGGCTATCGTTCATTTAAAAATGTTCGCATTTTCGAGATTTTCAGACATCTCAAGGTCTTTTCTTTTCATGGAATAATTTTTTCAAAAGTGATCGCATTTGCAAGCTTCGAAGTTGAGAACAAGTTCTCAAAACTAGATTTTTGAAACTGTTCGCATTTTCGAAACCGTCCGTCCTTTCTGCTTTTTCTGTAGTGTCCACCCTCTGAATTTTTTTCCAACATACCGTAACCCTCTCTCCTAGATCTACCGTAACCACTTGCCGTGTGTTCAGAAATGCACACAGAGTCTGCTGCAGATCCGTTCAACAACTTTGGCGGCAGCTACGGATCCTACGGTGGCGGTGGATACGGTGGCGGCGGCGGCGGTGGTCCGTTCGGCGGCTTCAACGGCGGTTACGGTGGGTTACTGTAGCTTGAGAAGTCGTCAATGTAACTTTAGTTCAAGATTTTTAGGCTTCTTCGAAAGCCTTTGGGTTTTTTGAAAGCTTTTAGGAGTTACTGTAGCATTTTCAGAAGATGCAGTAGCCAGTGTTACTGTAGACATACTTCCTTTTGAGGCCTACTGTAGTTTGCTTAATTTTATTCCATGTTTCAGGCCAAGGCGGCTACGGAGGCGGCGGAATGGGAGGCGGAGATGGTGGATACGGTGGCGGTTACGGTAATGGCGGCTACGGAGGTGGCGGCTACGGTAACGGCGGCGGCGGTGGTGATTTTGGCGGCGGCGGCGGTGGCTACGGTGGCTACGGAGGCGGTGGATACGGTGGAATGGGAGGAGGACCCGGCGGTTACGGTAAGTAATATCGAAGTGACGTCATCTTTCAAGAAAAAACTTTTAGGAATGGGCGGCATGGGCGGAGGTGACTATGGCGGCTATGGAGGTGGAATGGGAGGCGGCGGCGGAGGTTACGGTAACGGAGGCGATGGAGGCTACGGTGGCGGATACGGTGGAATGGGTGAGTTGATTTTGCCCAGTTAGTTGAGCAGAAGTTCGTTGGTCTACAGCAGGGCTTCACTACTTAGACTTACGGCATTCACAGTTAAAGTAATCCTACAGTAGTCTAAGGATACAGTAATCCCTTTCCCATCTCAAAGACTTTTCTGCAGGAGGCGGCGGCGGCATGGGAGGCGGTGGCTTCGGCGGCGGCGGTTACGGTGGATACGGTGGCGGAATGGGAGGCGGCGGCGGTGGTGATTACGGTGGCGGCTACGGTCCTTCTGGAGGCTACGGTGGCGGCGGTTACGGTATGGGCGGAGGAGGCGGCGGCGGCGGTGGCTGTCCCAACGGAGAGTGCCGAGGAAAGAAGTAGAAGGTGAGAGGGTTACTGTAGGGGTACTGTAGCTTTCAGCATTGGGAAAAAAACTTTTAAAGTTCATACTGAAACTAAAGAAACTGAAAAATATTTCCGGCTTACTGTGGAAAGTACTGTAGCTATAAAAATATTCAATTTAGGAGTTTTAGGATTACTGTAGAAAACTTTTCGGGTTACTGTAACTCGAAAAATCTTGATAAATTTGAAGTTTCTATACTAGATTCCAAGGTCATTGTAGGAGTTGAAAAACACTCGATAAAAATCTTGAACGATTACTGTGAGATCTGCACATGGGTTACGGTAGAAAATACGAATTTTCAGGTCCCTTCACTTCCATCCACAACACACCCCGCTAATTTATTGAATGAGCAACTTTGTAATTTTAATTTATTTTGCCAGTCTCACGCAGTTAGAATAAAGCAATCCCATGCTTATTCGTGTACCTCGAAACAAAAACATGGTCGCATTTGGAATGGGTAAGACGCGTCGCGGTCGCGAAAATGGTTCTGGTCAGGCTGTTTTTCACGACTTTGAGCTCACAAGGCTTTATTATAACCCAGTGCGTAAGTCGTTTTGGGTCTGGTGCGTCTCAAATCTTGAGCCATTCCAAGTGCGACCATAATTTCTTCTCAAATCAAAGAAGAAAAAAAGGAAACTTGTTTTATGTCCCAATAGAACAAATTTCTAATTAAAAAACCTGAAAAACACCTGTTTTTTAACATTATCAAGTAGACACGGAAATCCGAAAATTCCAATTTTTTGACTCATTTTCAAGCAGCTGCCACTTTTTCTTTTTCTCATTGACATTTCTCGGAAATTCATAAATGTCATGCATTTTGATAAACTCTATAATTTGTTCCTTTTCCTTGAAGTTTTGTCTTGTTTTTCTTCATTTTTCTATTATTTCCGGGCTTCAAAAACAAGCAAAAATTTGTGCTGGATTCGATCCTTTGATCCTTGGAGCCACAATTTTGTTTCCTTAGCCTCTGAGCCATTTTTTTTTTTTTTTTCAAATGTTTTTTATGCATTAATCTTTCAAGCTAATTGAAAATGGCAAAGACCTGGTCTGGAGTCGAACCAGAGTGCTCTTTATTCATAGAAGATTGGTTAAGTAAGATGATGTCTTTCTGAAAATGGCAAAAAAACCTGGGTCAGGAGTTGATCCAAAGACCTCCTGATTATCATTAAAGCTCTTTGGCCACTCAACTAACACTACTGACTCATATGGACTTATCAATAGGTTTTATTTTAAAAAAATGGGCTCAAAAAATATTATTAAAAAAAAGGAGAATCATACATTAGACACCACGTTTATTCTGTTTGTCTGGAAATAATTTGTTTTTAATCAATTACGTTAATTAAAGACCGATTCATAGTTTTTATACACCTGGGACTTGTTCTGGAAAACTTCATGGGTTTCTAGTTTCCTTTGAAGTTCGATCACTTTTTGATATTTTTTTCGTTTTTCTCGAAAAAGGATTTTTTGAAGCTTCAAAGTAGCGAATTTTGGATTGAAGTTCAGAAAAAGCCTATTCAAATATTTCGAAAAATCCCTCGTGTTTCTTGCACCCGACCCAAAAACGGCTTTCGCACTGGGACATCCAAGAAAAATTGGTTTATTTCAATTTTTAAATAATATTTTGATGAATCATGCTGTTTTCTTCAGTAAATTATCACTTTCAGAGTATTTTTGAACTTCCTAAAGTGAATATAGTTATTATTTCTATTTCAATTCAAAACATTTGAAACTTCCAAAGCTCGGAGATGTATAATTTGAGGTTATCAAACGAAAAACAGAATCATATGATAATCTTGAAAAAAAAACTGCTCAAACCATTCCAAATGCGGTCGCGATTGGAATGGATCAAAGCTTCATGGTCTGCTTCAGTGATTTAAAATATCCTTTGGCTCAAGTCGTTTCGGGTCGGGCGCATTTTAACGCAACAGCGATGCTTTGAGCCATTCCAAGTTCGACCTTTTTGTGTATTTGCAAAAAAAAGCTCTTTTTTTGTCGATTTTCCTCCAAAATCTCTTGAATAATTCATTTTTCGCCTCCGCACTTTAAAACTTCAGATGGACCTCTTCAACGCTCGTTTTACCATACAAGCGGCCTACGGTATCCCATCCGTCATACTGTATTTCATTACTGTAGTCTTTCTGTTCAAAAATTGGAAGCAGTTCGACACTTACTTCTTCCGGCTTTATATCGCTCAGTTTATAACTGTGAGTTATCTTTGAAGCTATAACATGAGCAATATGGGGTACTATGAGCAATAAACATCCTTGAAAGGTGCCGTAAATAGTAAAAGGACAATTATATCACTAAAAGAAGTTTTTCAATGGCCTAAAAGGAGAGCTAGAACCTTTAAGATGAGAAGAAGTGAGCTAACATGAGCAATAAACTATTTTTTAAACATTTTAGAACATTTGGACGTACGGCAACTCCTTCATAACACTCCGTCTACCCCAGAATACCTGCCAGAATTGTTATTTATCCGAATTTTTCCTTTCCCATTCCAAAAATCAAACCGAAGACGTCATCCTGCCCTTGGACGTCTTCTACACGCTTCACTTCCAATTCGCATTTATACAATATTCGATTATTACCATAAACTGCGTGAATCGCTTCACGATGATCTTCTTTCCATCGGAATATCAGAAGGTACGGTAGGTTACTGTAGAGGTTACTGTAGGAATTAGAAAATTGTTTATTAAAGTTATCTGTCCCCTATCTTTTTTCAATTTTTCGTATTAGGTTACGATGGAAAACATAATACTGTAATTTTTCTAAAGTAGCCGTCCGAAAAAGTTTTTCAACCGACCTGATCCGGTTTGTCGCCGTTCCCTAAGCTTCTTCTTCTCTTTGAGACGCTCTAGGTTACGGTAAAGGATTGATTACTGTAGATTTTTAAGACCGGAAGGCCAACTTCCAAAAAAAAAGGTAAGAGAGAAAAGCCCGAGTTATAAAAATTTTTGCGCCCGACCTGTTCCGACTTGACACCAAAGATCACATGACGTCATTCAGATCTGGCAGCTTGCAACGTGGCCAGCTCTATTCTTGTCGATTTTTCCTTGGTTCTACCTGACCGAAGAAATTTTATTCAGCAAGTGCTATTATGAATATGTGCCGACAATGGATTGTTATGCGACTAAAACGTCTTATGTTAGTTTTAAGAATTCAAAAATTAATCGATAAAAGGTCTAGGAAAAGCCCAAAGGAAGAAATGGCCTCGAAAAATGATTCCTAGAAAAAAAAAAGCGCGAAAAAAGAGTCAAATTAAGTAAATTAGCAGTAGGGCGCACTTGTCATAATCCTCGCGGCTATTTTTTCATAAGGCGATTTTTTCAAACTCCGATCTTTGTGGAAAGCTACTGTGATTTTGAAGCAGCTCCATAACATTATCAACCAGAAAAAAAAGATTTTGAGCCACGAAATTCCCATTTTAGGACTATACAAATCTCTACACTTTCTTATTGTTCTACATCTTCTCTACAGTAAGCTTCAACCTCACAGTCAATATTTTTTCCTGGGCTCGAGTGTACAATTTGAAGAAAAGCGCCATGTCCAAAGGCGATTTCAATCTATTCGTCATGAGCTTCGTCATCTTCATTTTTCAGCTTTTTTGCGGCGTTTTTGCGGTCAGTTCGGAATTTTAAAAAATAGTCACTGACATCTCAAAAAAAAAATGATCGTTATAGAAATATAGTTTTCCAAAATGAGTTCTGAGCAGCAGTAACAAGATTTGAACATTTTTTCTTGAGAAGGGGTTTCGACGCTCGAGATTGAGTTTCTGGGTTAACCTGAGCAATAATGAGGAATGACGAAAGATTGACCAAAAACTAAACCGACCAATACTGAGATTTGAAACTTTTTTTTAAAGTTTTTATAAAATCGAGTTTCCGATGTAACCTGAGCAATAAGGAGATGTTCTTCATATTCGAAAAGAAAAGACCGAAAATGAGTTTCGAACTCCGTTTTTAAAAAAAAGGATGAGCAATTCTGAAACGATTTCGTGGTCAAATTCAATATATTTGCTTAGAAAATCTAGAAAAAAATGTTGAACCTCGGTAAAAGTTGCAATACAACATTTTCGTGCTAACATGAGATATAATGAGTTGAAATGAACTCAATCATCTTTTTAAAAATATAAAGCTCAAATTTCGAAACAGGTAGCTAATATCAGCAAAACTTCGAAATTATGAGCTAATATGAGCAACACGGATCAATTTCCAGGCAATCAACCGTTTCTACATCACTGACGTCCATAAAACCTCGTTTTGGTCCCAATACGGAGCTCTTTTTATTTCTTTCGGCTCCGACGCCTTGACCCATTCAAGTCCTTGGGTACTGATCGTTTTCAGCTCTAAGGTGGGCTAACATGAACAACGTGATCATTTTGCCAAAAGCTTTCAGGCCCGAATGTGTCTCCTGGAACTTTTTGGTTTCCGGAAGAAGAAAATGATCTTCACCAGCATCCGATCGAAGGCCTCCACTGTGAGCCCGTAACTTCTGTGTAGTGGTCCCATGAATGGTATTTATTGCTCATGTTACTGATTTTCTATGGAATAAAGGAGTTTTTCGGAGCTGAGGTCAAATTCCATAGTTTAGAAGTCGTTCTCAAATCCCTTGAGATCGGTTCTCTAGTTCTGGAGGTCACTAGATCGACTCCTGGCCAGGTTTTGCCATTTTTATTGACTCTGGAAGATTTTTTGAAAAATGCAGGAGTTGCAATAGACATGTTAGAAAGGCTAAAATGCTTTTCTTCCACTCGAAAGGTCGCTGGTTCGACCCCTGCCCAGGTTTTTGCCATTGCATCAACCTGAAAAGGTCATAACTCAATTTTCATGAAAAAAAGACAGATTTTATTTCAAAAAAATGATTTTTTTTTTCCATCAAATGGTCCCAAAATCATTAGAGTTTTGAAAAATTGGAGAAAGGTATGAATTTTCGAAGCTTACGCTTTTAAGCGACCGTCTCGCAGCCGCAACGCGTAAGCCCATTCCAAATGCGGTCATTTTAATCGATTTAGTGGTCATTTAAGAGTTTTTGCCATTCATATTATACTTTTCAAAGCGGGAATAGTTGACTTATTGAAATTTTTAGTTCCAATACGATAGATAGGATTTCCGAAACGAAAATTCCATGTTACAACTATTTTTCGCCTTAACATCTCGTCTTGGAACCCAACAATTACACTAACAAATTCGAATTCAAACAGCCATGTCCAATTTGAATAGAAGGAGGGGAAATCCGTGTGAAATGCAAACAAAACCATCACTTTCTACGGGCCGTCTTCTCCTTCTTCTTATTCTTTTTCCCCTCTGAAACTTCTTTGTCTTTGACTTTTTTCTGAGCGTTCCAGGGCAAATTTGAAAATGAACCGTTTTTCTACAAGGTTTTGAAGTTATTTTTTCGAAAAATGGCAAAAATTGGGATTTTTCCCGAAAAGCCTGAGCTTCAAAAGACTTCCTTGCACGTACAAGACTTCAAGAATTTCGACAAGTATCAAAAAAACCAGAAAAAGGGCAAAAAAATGAGTCTATTCCACATTTTATCAATGGAGCACACTTTCTTGGCCATTTATAACGGCTATTTTTTTCTCTTTTCTTGATTTTTTTCACCTCATTTTTTTGGAAAGTTTTTTTAGATTTCAATAAGTTGGATGGCCTGTTCAAATTGCAAAATTATCAATGAAGCACACTTTCGTCTCCATTTATGGCGGCTATTTTCTCTCAAACTTCTTGTTGATTTTGTCACCTCATTTTTTGGGCGAGCTTTTTTTTTAAACTCAATAAGTTGAAAGACCTGTTCAAACTGCAAAATTATCAATGGAGCGCACAATTTTTTTTGATCTCGGCTATTTTTTCTCACTCAAAATTTGATATCGCACAGATTCGCACTATGAAAAATCAATTTTATCTCATTTATGATGCCATTTCTCAAGTTCAAATCTTCCCTCAGAAACATCAATTTTCCCCCCAATCTTTACTCTTTAAAGTGCGAACACTTTACTTTCCCCGCACTACAACATACTACAGACGGCACTTGATGAAACGAAGAAAAACTCGACTCACTTAAAGACTGCAGAGATTTCCAATATACATATAACTCGACAGGTTCCGCCACCATCGAAACCAAAACACGCTCCGTCCGCTTTTTTCCTCGCATCGACCGCCGTTTCGGAACTTTTGATGGCAATCTGACTTTACTGTTTCACGCCTTTGAAAAGTATAAGTGAATTTTTGTTATTGCTGATAAATTCCGAAGAAAAAGAGCAAAATCAAAAATAGTCTTCTTGACGGAGCATTTGCGCCCTGATGCTAAATCGATCAAAAAATGGGTTTTAAATGGTTTTTTCGTTTTTTGAGTGTCTAAATTTCACTGATACAGGCTAAAAAGTGGAAAAAATTGCTGGTACATGCTAAAAAGGTGCAAAATATCCTTTTTTTTTCGATTTTCCTTCAAATTTTTAAACACCTTGACTGATCAATTGCGCTCTATCGCTAGTTTTTTTGTTAAAAAATTGATTTTTGAGCACTTTTTCTAGTTTTTTTTTCTGGTCCTTTCTATGAATTTTATTATTTTTTTCTCGTATTTTTGAACTTTTTCCGATTTTTTTTTCAATAATTCTTCCACAAAAATCGCTAAATATCTTCATTTTGTCTGTTTTGAGCTTCCATGATACTTTGAAAGAGAAAAAACCGTCGTAATTTGGTTTTTTTTTCAATTTTCTTGAAAATTCTCCTTTTTTTGTACTATACTTCTCAACGGAGCGTATTTGTGCCTTTTTCAAAACCAAAAAAGACCTTTTTTCGGTTTTCCGTTGTGATTCAATCAAACTAGAAATCATCTGAAAATAGTCCTAATCTCAAAAAATAGCCGTGAAAGAATGTTAGAAGTGGTGCTCTACCGCTCACTTGAAATGTGAAAAAGGTGCGTCCAGAAGGCTCCGCCCACTTTTTTCGAACAAATTTTTCCGATGACTAAACTCTTCGGTCGCCATGTACAACAGGTCTACATGGGCTTTTTTTTTTTTAACTTTTTGAGAATATTTTAGAGAAATCATAAACGTTTTTCAAAGGAATTTTTGTCAAAATTGAAAATATCTATTAATTGTTTGGCGAACTGTAGTTTTTTAATGGAAAATTAATGATTTTAGACTTTTTTTCCTATCATTTTTGGGTCGCATTTGGAATGGCTAAACGCGATGCGGATTTTAGAAAAAATTTTTTTTTATTAATTTTTTTGCCCATGCACCTTCAGTGAAGAGCCATTCCAAGTGCGACCAAAAAAATAGCAAAAATCAAAAATTTTAAAAAAAGTTCATCATTTTTTGCGAAAAAACGAATAGAAATTCGGACTTTTTTTGAATTTTCTATTGATTTTCTTGTTTGAAAAGACTTCAAAAAAAATTTTTTTTCGATTTTGCAACCGGAAAAATTCAAAAGAACTCTGAAAAGGAAAATGATAGCAAAATGGAGAATTTCTATTTAAATAAGCCGATTTTCTGCACGAAATTCGGATGAAAATCCCCATCGATTCTCATTTTTCACCTTTCCTCCGGTTTTATGTTTCAAAAAATTCATTTTACAAAGTCGAAAAGTCAAAAACAGGATTATAGATGTATGTGGCGATCGATATATTTATCATAATTGATCTATTTTTTTAATGATTACTGTAACCCACAGTATTTTTCTCATTTTTACTAAATTTAATGGTCATAAAAATTGCCCGAAGTTCATTAAAATTTATGCGATTTTTGCGCCCGACTTTTCCTTACTTTCCTTCCTCCGCTGCTTGATCATATTATTGACTTTCAGGAACCCAAAAAAAAATCGAAAAGAAAAAGAATTATAAGAAAAAGTCGCGAAATCCATAACCAGAGGAATGGTTGAAAGACAAAAAACGTCAGAAAATGATGTACGGTAGCCACAGTAACCTCCAAAAACAGAACTACTCGGCCGCCGCGAGTAGACCGCCCTTCGAGCCCGTCAACACGTCAACTGTTCGTTTTTTACAGATTTTGTGTTTTTTCACTTAACTGACTTTACCGTTTCTTGCTCAAAATTTATCAAAGATCAATGAATCTTCTTCGATTTTCTTGAGTTGGACACAAATGTTTTGAAAAAAAATATTCTTGTTTTCTGGGAAATCCATTGAGTGAATTTTTTGAGGGAATCGAAAAAAAATGCGGCATTTGGAATGGCTCAACACTTGTTTCAACTGATTGCAATTGAGTTTTATAAAAAAAAGTGAGCCATTCCAAATGCGGTCATGGTTTTTATAATTGATTTCAATTAATTTTAAGCATATTAAAAATTTCATAGAATTGCTTAATCAAAGTCGCGAATTAGCAAAATATCTCTTAAAAGTAAGCCAAATGAAACGGTAACTTCGTTTTCCATCATTAATTTTTTTTTACCAGGTAAGGTACATCAAAAGAGTCGATCCGTCGTTCGAAAAGCCCTTCACGCCGATTCCAAGGGCCCGCGGGAAGCCCGTCAAACATTTCGACGAGATCATTGCTCAGGTTAGCTCATTTTGCGGCCTGGAAAGTGCGGACAGTTGTGATTTTGCATTCAAATCATATTTCCACACTTTCACGTTTCTTCCAACTCATTTTTACAATTAGGCGTCTTTAAGAATAGTAATTAGAACCTGACGGAGATTATAAATAGAAATAAGTTGCGCCCGACTCGCAGCGACTTGCGCCTTCATCTCTAAAAAATCCGTTTTATATGCATTTCATTTGGCTTACTTTTTTTCGATGATTTTTATATATTTTTTTTTAAAAGAAATAAATTTCAGAAGCCCCAAAAATACCCGAAGATTTGACACTTTCGGCGAGAATGCTATTGAAACGGTTGGTTTTTTTTTTTGAATTAATTTTCTAATGGTCTATTCTGCTCTTTGGATTTATTATCAAAAAAAAATAATAAATCTTAGAAGTTTTAGAAGATTTTTTGACGGAAGCATGTTTTTCTGAACTTTTCTCCTTGGAGCATAATTTCATCATTTTTGTTTTTTGCCCTTTTGCCGATTTTTTGATCGATTTTTTCATGCTGCGTTATTATTTTTCGAAGCAATTTTGTTTTTGATCAGGACACTTTTTTTGATTTTTTTAAAAATCCAAATCTTTTTGATAATAATGGAATTTTACAAAGGAAATCATAGAAAATTAAATTTTTTTCGAATTTTTCTTATGTGAGCGTTTTTCTTCGAGCTTTTTGGCTATATAAGTTATGATTATTTTTTTAAGCTTCTAAAAAAATTCTTTTTCTGTTTCAGGCTTTTTTTAAAAAGAATATTTCTGATTTTTTTAAACATTCCTGCAAAAAAATTTCGAATAATTCCTTATTAGATTCCCTAATTTTCTTTTGCCAATTTTTTTTCTTAATTTTTCATAAAAATTCTATATTTTTCGAGCTATAATTTCATTATTTCCCCTCTTCTCCATTCGAAAAATTCGAAAAAAAACCAATTTTCCATGCAAAAAAAAGCCGAATATTGGCAACAACGTACAAATCGTGATCGATTTGCGTGTGTTCTAAGCGGATTTTCGGCGCGCTTCGAAAAGGGGACGGAAACACGAAATTTCAACGCAAATATGTGTATGTATGACCGTATTTGGAATGGGAAGAGCGGGGATCAAAAAAAGGCGAAATTTTTCGAGTTTACTGTTTCAAGGGGCTTATATGATAATAGTTTAGTTCAGTGTCTTGTTTTAAAAAAAAGGTATTTATTGAAAAAGCGAAATTGATTCTTGGAAGGGTTTACCGTTTCAGGGGGTTGATATAATAATAGTTTGATTCAGTGCCATGATTTAACAGAGCAATGTTTATTGATTAAGTGATCAAGTAAGGGGTGTCCAGTGAAATAATAATACACGGGAAAAAGTCAACCCCAACGACTTGAGTTTTCTTCAGTGTTGTAATGAGCCTTTTGACCTCAGGGCTGATAAATTCTATAAAAACTCAACCAACATCGCGGTTTCAAAAAGTTTCCAAAAAAAGAAATTAATTCACTATTATTGATTGTAAGGCATGAAAGCTTCACACGAATTTCTTCTGGTCTCACTTGGAATGGGCGAGATCGTGAAGCGGTCATGTTCAACTTGCACCCGACCTAAAACGACTTTCGCTCTTAAGCAGTGTGAAGATGCTTTGAGCCATTCCAAGTGCGACCACGAGTTTTAGACCGATACAATCTAACCAATATAGTAATAAATATAGATGGTTTTTATGTGAATCGTTGAAATAGTAATCTCATCTCATTTTATTCAAAATTTTTTTTCGATTTTCTGGTTTTTTCAATTTTTTTTATGTACTGGGAATTTGTAGAATATATTATAACATCGAAAAAAAGTGAATTTTCAGATCTACGACGAATTCAAATTCCTCGATGAGCCCGACGTTCCATCGCCGTCAAGGTCCAGTGGACAGCCAATCCTGGAAAAATCCTCAGAAGTTCATATTTTTCAATTTTTTTCTAAAAAAATGAGAGTTTCGATCTCTTATGTTACGCTCAGAACTCGAAATACTTACGAAAAAAACTTCAAATGGTTTTTTTTTATTCTGGACTTTCTTGGTGTTCTAGCGGAGTGTCGTAAAGAAAAATTCGAATTTTCTGATTTTTTGAACTTTCTTGTCAATGGTTTACTTATTATCTCCCAATCGAAGCTTAAAAAAACTTCAAAATTTATTTTTTCTATTTGTAACTCAACTCTTGACTAGCTTGGTGTTCTAACGGAGTTTCGTAGAGGAAAATCCAAATTTCTCGAATTTTACATCTTGATGTCGTTTTTCAGCGTCCTTTGTCACTATTGAACTTCAAGATCACCAAAAAATGTCATTCTAGACGCTCAAATTGCCTAACCCCATCCGCCTTGACGTACTGCTTGCTGCCGTCGGTTCAGCTACTATTTTCCAGCGCCCTGATCGTTTTGGCGACTCTGAGAACTCGACAGCTTGTTCAGGTTGGTTTTAAAAAGAGCTAAAACTCTGAATTCGAAGATTTAATGAAGGTTTTGACAAGAAAACGATGAGTAATTTTAAAAAATTTAATAATTTTCTTTCAGTTTCAGACGGAAAACTCGACAGTTCGACTGGTAAGCTCTGAAAATCCAGCCGGCGTCAATCTTTTCTCATTGGAAGGTTCAAATTCATTCAAAATTAAGAAAAAAAATGAATGAATCTAGCTCAACGAATCCTGGGACTCGAAGCAGTGTTAGGAACCTTTCTGCCGGCCATTTTTCAAGCAGTTTCGGCTCTTTTTGGCTTCTGGCCAATCGCACCTGGGAAAAATATACGAAGAGCGATGCAGGTAATTTTTTCGAAAAAAGTTTTCAAGAACTCAACAATCAATTAAAGCTAGACTTTGGTCAAAAACTTGTTTGAAAAGGTTTTTTTCTTGGTATGAATGCTCGAATTATATCTTAATAGTTGTAAAAAAATACAAAACTCTAATAAGTTAATAAAAATAGAAAATTAGTCGAAAAATTTGGAACGCTTCACGAATTTGCGTGTCATCCTTGCGCAGGGGCCATGCTAATCTTCTCTGTATTGTTCCAATTTTAGTATATGTTCTCGGAAGAACGATTTGTGTGCAATGCGTCGGGGTTATATACCCCCTCCTTTCCTTGCAACCGACCCCACGCGACTTTCCCCCCAAAACAGCGCGCCTCTCCTCCCCCTGTCCTCTCACTCCGCGCGCTCTCTCTCTTCTCTGCCGGTCTGACGGCGAGAGATGGCGTCCTCCAATGAAGTGTGCATCCGAGCGCGAGCCGCTGCGGGTCGGAGGCAGCATAAGAGGGGATCGTCGTCAGTGGACGGCTCATAAACTTACCTGGCTGGGAGGATCTCGCGATCACCAAGGCGGGAACTCCATGGCGAGGCCTGATCATTGCACTTCAGATCGGGCTGACCTGTGTGGCAGTCTCGAGTTGAGATTCGCCAACAGCTTAATTTTTGCGTGAGGGGTTGCGTTCGCGCGACCCCGGAAAGACTGGACATGAAAACACCAATCTTTGAAACTCTGGTTACTCAGGGCGAAATTTTAAAATTTACTTGTAAAATCCACGACGCTCATTAAAACTGAAAAAAAACGTTTTTCCTTAGAAATTCACAAAATTCGAACATTTTCCAGACGCTCCACATCATCTTCACGTGCATTTCAATCTTCCTCTGGGTGGACACAATCTACGACTTTTCACTGGAAATCGTCCTCGATTACTTGCAAAATCCAGCCTCTGGACCACAAACGTAATTATATCCAAAAAATTCTGTAAAATGCGGACGTTTCAGAGAAAAACTGATAACGGACACAGTTTTACTGTTTCTGGGGTATCTGGAAACGTTAATTTTGCCGGCGATCACTTTGGCCGTCGCCGCCTTCAAATTGGGCACTTCCGATCGATTAATCAAGGTTTTTTATACATTGCTCGAATTTGGAATGGCTTGAAGTTAATTTTGAAGCCTCAGCGCGAAAGTCGGTTTTGGTCGGGTGCAAGCCATTGCTTGTCCGCTGAATTTTTTTAAAAGTTTCCATTTCAGTCCAACGTCTTATCCGTCTCTATATCACTTGGATCTGTCATTTTCGCGACTTCCACCTTGATCGTAGCCGTTTTTGCGGCCCAAGCGAGTCTCAGTGGCCCAAGCGCCAAATGGTTTTTTTAGCTTATGATTCCTGTTTCGGATAATTTTTTTTATGGAGTTTTTTATTTTTTGATATGTTTTCGAAGTCGAAAACTCACTATTTTTTCAAAAGATTGGCATCGATTTTTTTGAAGGTTTTTCTTCCGAGACCATTTTTTTATCAATTTATGAAATCTTAAAAATCAATCTTGTAAGCTTTTTTTCTGTAGAAATCGCAACAGAAAATAACAAATATTCATTTTTCAGGACGACATTGAACGAGGAGCTCAACAAATCCGGTCTTTTCGCCTACGGCCTGAAAGACGCGATAGTTTTCGGGTTCGTCGCGATTTCTGCGATTTTTTCGCTCGTCGCCGCGACTCTGCGACGTCGCGGACTCGTCTTGGCGGCTACTATTGGCCAGGGGTTCGTTATTTTCGAAGATAAAAATTGGAAAAAAACCAAGCAGAGTAGCCAGATAACATCCATGAAAAAATAGCCGCCTGGTGTTCTCAAAAGTGCGCTCTATGGCTAAAAACTGAGCTTTTTCACCTAAATGTTTGATTGGAATAAATTCTTCCTCTCACCACATCAAACTTCGCTCCAACGATAATAAAGGCCCTTTTGGATGAAAATTCGATTTCATGTCCTTTACTCGGAATTTGCGCTCCATTGATAAAGTTATAGTTATCATTCACTAAATTTAATTTCCACAATAGTATACTGATCACGAAAACAACGAAATTATAGGTCCTAAAAAAATAATAATGAATTAGTTCATTTCCCTGCAACACAGTATTTTTTTACTTAGCGGGAAGTTATTCAGAATCCAATAAATTGAACTATCGTCTGATTTCCGTAAGAAACCCATAAAAAAAAAGAAAAAAAAAATCAACTTTTGACAATTTATTGCTCAGGTTATCGATCGCGTTGGTGACGTCACACGTGGTGACGTCAGAACGGCTGACGTCATTGGCGCTGAACGTACAGATCGTTCAGCGAATCCGACAGGACGTCCCAATCTCCGAATTGACGTTGGTTTTTTAATGTCTTCGTAGCCTAGAGGATAAAGTTCTAGTCTGTTGAAGTACAGGTCGCTGGTTCGAGTCCTCTCCCCGCCCATTTTGTTTTTGCAGTTTTTTTTTAAATTCCGCTAGCCTCCCTTACCAACGTTTCTCTTCAAGGCTTACATTATAGCCTAATGGCTAAAGCGCTTGACTAAAAAAGTATAGGTCGCTGGTTCGAGTTCTCTCCCCGCCTATTTCGTTTTTTGCTGTTTTTGCAAAATGTGTTTTCACTAGCCTACCTTACCAACGTTTCTCTTCAAGGCTTAGATTATAGTCTAGTGGCTAAAGAGCTAGACTTTAAAAGTATAGGTCGCTGGTTCAAGTCCTCTCCTCGCCTATTTTGTTTTTTGCTCTTTTTTTCTTAGTTCCGCTAGCCTACTTTGCCATCTTTCCTGTTCAAGAAGAAAATTATAACCTATTGCGGAAAACTCTAGTGGCCATTTAAGGGGTTCTTCTTCAAGGACCACGTGGAGAGGGCACTAAAGTGACCACTACAACCGCCTCTCTAGAAGCCACTATTTTTTGTCTTAGGGCTCACAATAGTAGTTTGAGTAACTTCTGAAGAGACCACCAATTTTACCCCTTTAGTGACCACTTTATCGACCACTAAAGCAACCACTAGAGCATCAAAACCCTAAAGTGGCCTCTAAAAATGTTCCAGAGACTCATCTTCATTTTTTTTCCAGTCTGATCCTTCTGAGCGGCTGCTGCGCGACCACATGCGCTCTACTGACAATCCAACTGGCAGTTTTTCGTCGCGGCGATTTTTTCGCGCGAACAAAATCGCCGACCTACGTTGCAGATTCAGTTCAAAGGACACAGTGTTGAGGACAACTTTTCGACTGGTTTTTTTTCGCTCAATTCTTTTTCAGTTTGTTTTTTGTGAAGAAAAAGGTTTTTTTTAAGGTTCCGTTGAACATGAAAAAAAAGGAAATGTCGGAAAGAAGGGAGTTTTCTATCGAGAAACATGATTAATGCAGAAGAAAACATTTTGAAAACAGTTATAAAATGAAAAATCAGTCGCATTTGGAACGACCCAGAGCAAGAAAAATTCAAAAATTTGCCTTTGAACTCCAAAAAACCTCCTGAAAGTTTTCTTTTTTAACATCATCCCATTGATCTTCTCCATTAAAAACAAATTTCTTCGAAAAAAAGTCTTATTTATTATCAGGAAGATTTTTGACTTGCATAAAACAGTCTTACAAGTTCTTTCAATAGCAGGAAGAATCTCAGAACTTTGGCTATAAGGAAAAAAATTTCCTATTTCATTCAAAAATGCTCTCAAATCTGATTAAAAACTATAAGTTTCCCTGAAATTTTCACCTCGAAACATAAATTTTAAGCTTCATTCATTTATTGAAAGTATTATGAAGTTCCCCGATTTTCACAACCAATATGGACTCAAAATTTTGAACAAAAAACGATTTTATATTGAATTTCGTGAACTTTGATATGAATTACTTTTTGAATTTTATAAAGATGAGAGAAGGATTATGAGTAAAACTTTCGAAAGCAGAAGATCTAATTAAAAACGAAGGAAACGTATGTCATTTAGCTTCCACGAGTCTCATTCCATCTTCTCGTCAAATTTTGGCGATTATTCCTTCTTTCAATCTTTGTTTTTACCTTTTTTGTTAGAAAATATGACAGAAAAGGATTTTTCACACCGGAAACTGTAGAAAACGTGCGTCAAACCAATTTTTTCCACCTCAAATCGTGCAAATTACTACCTTTCGTCTCAAAAACCTACTCGGATTGCTTAAAAACACTTCCAAATTCTTTCAAAAGCAAAAAGAAGTAGTTAGAAAAATGGCAAAAAGAAGGAAGGTCCCGGGGAGATTTGAACTCCCGTCGCAGGATTCAGAGTCCTGAGTGCTAACCGCTACACCACGGGACCGGCGACGGTGATGAGCGATCGCCGGTCACTTATCACCTGCTGCTGATGAGTGAAAGGATTAGTGATGAGCACTTTGAAAGATAGAAAAGTCAGAAAACGTAGGATTATGACATGTATTATGATGAAATATTTGAAAAAGTTCATTCCCAAGTTAAAAATCAATTTGAAAATAATTTATTAACAAAATGTACAACAATATTTTGAATCTTCAAAAATGGGACTATTGATTGATGACGTCACCATCTGGCGGCTCGGGTTACTTTTTCTGAAAAAGTGATATTTTTTTCCGGGAAAAAAATGGAAAAAAACATTTCACAACAGTTAAAAATAAAAAAAAAAATAAGCTGAAAAGTTTTTGAATAGTAGACCTCATTTTCTCGTATTTTTTTCATCGGATTTCTATTTTTTTCTTAAAAAAATATTCCAGTTAATTACTGAAGATGTTGTTGAGAAATTATTATATGGAAAAAGAGAAAAATGAGAAAAAAAGGACAAACTTTCATAAATTACGGATTTTTGAATTTATTTTTTTCCCCGCCAAAGTTTTTTTGGTAACTTCACGGGCCATGTTCAAGTGACCTCTTAAGAGCCTTCTGAAAGAAGGTCAAAAAGCTAATTTTAAAATTCCCTGAAAATGGTGCGATTTCTTCCAGGCGCCTTTTTTTCTGAACTTTTTATCCCTTCTTTTCGGATCTTATTATATTAACTCTCATTTTTAAATATAAAAAAACTTTGATCTCAGAAAGGACCTTTTTCGATTAAAATCCATGAAAATGTGCTCAAAAACGTTTTCTAAAAAAATCTTATTTTTAAAACTCCTTAAAAAGATGCAAAACATATTTCTTTCATTTTTCAAGAAAAAAATTCATTTTTATCGGTTTTTATAACTTTTTTAAGTAGCTTTTTTTTTGTAACATCTTTTAACACCCTTAAAAAAAGGACCTATACTAAGAAAAAGCCGTAAAAATGCGCTTTTTGAAGACATTTTTGAGGTATTTTTGACCTTTGCCCGTGTCAACGTTAACAGCCAAATAACTTAATAATTTTCGATTTTTTCTGGATTCTTACTGTATCATTTCGTAGTGTGTCCGGTGGAAAAGCACGTGCGTGTTAGCGGAGTGCAAGCGATAGAGACAGAATTGGCAAGCGGCGGCGATTTTTTTCTTTCTTTTTCTTTTCTCTTTCGTTCTTTTTTCATTCACAATGTGCTCACCAGGAGCTTGCTGAAAATTGAAAATACTTCAATATTTTTTTATTGGAAGCGGGGAAAGGTTAAAAAAATCAATGAACACAGACAGGCCATGCAAAAATAAAAATCAGGCGTTCAAGGCAAGTGGTCACTTGAGGGTTCCATTTCAAAGGCCGACTTTGGGAATTGTTTTCCGCAGTGTTGCAGCTAACTAGAACTCCGGAACATGACTTCGAACTCTTGAGAAAAGCTCAAGAGATCACTTGAGTGATTTTTAAAGAGCGAACTGCAAGAAAACGTGAATAATAAAGTGGTCACCTAAGGGTTTCTTCCTAAGCGATGGCTGGTTTTTTCAAGTGTTAGATTTTCAGAGAGTTTCCACAGAGTTCTGAGGAAAATTTCAAGTGACAACTTGAGAGATTTTTAAAGAGCTACTTGCAAGATTACACGAGTATTCAAGTGGTCACTTGAGGGTCCCATTTCAAGAGTTGACTTCAGAACATTTTTCAAGTGTAGAAGTTCAGTAGAATTGCAGCTAGTTTCTTCAAAGTTCCAAGAAAATCTCAAGTGATCCCTGAAGTGATGTTCTAAAAGTGGCTTGCAAGTCTCCATTAGTATTCAAGTGGTCACTTGAGGATTTTATTTCAAGTGGCGACTTTAGGACATTTTTCCGAGTGTTGAAGTTCAGTAGTATTGCAGAAAACTCCTTCAAAGTTCCAGGGAAAGCTCGAGTGATCATTTCAGTGATTTTTCTAAAAGTGGCTTGCAAATTTTATAGAAGTATTCAAGTAGTCATTTGAGGATTTTCTCTCAAGTGACGACTTGAGGGATGTTTTGTCGAACGTTGAAGTTCACTAAAATCTTAAAAGATGTCTCCAAAGTCGTGAGAAAATTTCAAGTGATCACTTGAGAGTTTTGGAAAGTCACGATAGCCTACTTTAGTTGTCACTCAAGGATCTAACTTTAAGTGGCCACTTCAGTGATTTTTTTCAATTCTGGAAATAAGTAAATCATCGGAATATACTGGAAGAGCCCTGAAACTTTAAAAAGACTCAAGTGGGCACTAGAGGTATTTTACCACGGAGGCGATATTCATGAAGAGTTCTGAGAGGCCACTCAAGGGTTTGTACTGAAGTGGCTGCTATAGGGGTTTTTCTTGACCTTGAGGAATTGAAAAACTTTTCTTTTGGTTCAAAAATTTGAGATTTCCACGAGTTTCAAGCTATAAAATCCCCTTTTTTCTTAAAATTCGCATAAACGATTATTTTTTCAAAGCTGACCCTGTGCCTTTAAAAACAGTCTTCCAGCGATAATTCCCACGAAAAACACCACAAAAACGACCAGAAACAACAAAAATGAAAGGGCAAAATTTACATAAATAGGATAAAGATTCACAAATCGGGGTCAATCCATGCGACGGCCCAATGCGTGTTAGGGTTAGGAGCCCAACAACGAGTTTCTGAACCAGAAATTTCAAGGGACAGTCCAAAGGAGAGGTTTCGTGCGGGACAGAAAAAGTTGCTTTGAAAATGTTTTTATTGTTGTTAGTGATTATATTCACAATAGGTTTTCGATCTACGAATCTGAGAAAATTAATGAATTTTGTCTTTACTTCACTACTTCATAAAAAAATCCCCTGTTAGGCAAAAATATATTAGAAAGAAAAAAAGTTTCCACCTTGGTAAAAAAATCAATAATTTTTCTATATATAAAAAAACGTTTATTTATTTTTTTCTACTAGTTTTTCCTAACTTATTCCAACCACCTACATCAAGAATATTCAACTATAAACACTTAAAAAAACAAAAAAATAAAAAAATAGTTTTTTTGAAATGAAATGAAAAAAATTTGCTTAAAAACACGCTATACACCTCACGCGCGCGCAATATTGCACACTTTTCATTTTCGAAAAATACAGAGTGAGTGTTTTTTTGATTTCTGCATTTTGAATTTTTTTATTTTCTCATATTACTTCAAAGCGCATCAGAAAAAAAGCAACTTGATATTTTTATATTTTTGAAAAAAAGGACTTCGTATAAGTTTACTTAAACGAAAAAAAAATCTGGTCAAAATTTTTTTTCACTCTTCATGTAATTCAGTTTCTAGGCCGGTATAACTAATAAGAATTAAGAAAAAAATTTTTCGAACATTTTTTTTGAAACTTATTGGATACTCAGCCATCATCAAAAAGTTTACCGGTTTTTTTCGATCATTAAAAAAATATAAATATAAATTTTTTTATTTTCGACTCATATTTCACCCAAATATTTTCGAGATAATTCTCCATCAACTTGCAAGGAGAATATTCAACTCTAAACTTTCAGAGCATCATTTTTTTCAAAACGAAATAAAAAAATTTTGCTTAAAACACGCCAAACACTTCACGCGCGCGCAAAATTGCACACTTTTTGACTTTAAAAAAATGAGTGTTATTTTTTTTAAATGTTTTTGCATTTTAATGAACCTTTCATTTTTTTAATTTTATCAAAGTTAAATATGGGAAAAACTAGTAAGAAATTAAAAAAATTGATGGTTCAAAACTTTCTGTTCCACTGTTAATTGCAGAAATATCATTGAGATCATAATCATAAATTTTCTTTTTGTATTTCTTTTTCGATTGAATATATTCACTAAGAATCTATGCAAAAAAATCGGGTTATTATGACTAAGAAAAATTAAGTATTTGAATCAAAATCGAATTCTATGTAAAATGCTTTTCAAAAGTTGGAATGAATACGCTTCAACGTAGAGATAATAAATCGAGAACTCAAATTTTCTTGTTTACAGCGTTAGCATTTTTTCTAAACTTGAATTTCAAAACTTCAAGGAAAAAGTCCTTGTTTGAATGGTTTTTATTGAGATCTAGTCACTCCATGCTCATCCATTCCATTGCCAGGCATTGGGGAAAAAGTGCAATCTAATTATTTTTCTAATAAAATACGCCAGAAACTCTCGAAAGTTAACTTACCCCAAGAAAATGAACCAATACCAAATATTAAATGCGGCGAAACACAAGGGGAACATTAGGGATGACATCTGAAATATTAACGGATTTTCAAGGAAATTTTGAAAGTTGATGAAAAAGAAAAACCTGATCCAATTTCGTCGCCGTCCATTCTTTACAATTCGTGCATAGCCAGGAACATTGACACCTTAAAAATCTCCTTTAAAAGTCGAAAAAAATATAGCAATTTTGTCGGGAAAGAAAGGGAAGCGATATCAACAACGACTTGAAGAGACGCCAGAGAAGTAGAGAAAATTGAGTTTTCCTATGTTTTTTGGGCTACTCTCCTGAAGCGGGCACTTTAGATTTTATAAATTTCCCTAGAGCTACCACTTGGAGACTATATAGTCTTCCCTTAAGAGGCCAGTTTGTTGCGCTTGGCTTCAAGAGCTTCCATCAACTGTCTCAAATGGAGCTAGAAAAAATAAAACCATAAGTGATCGCTTGGAGACTTTAAAGTGATCCCTTAAGTAGCCTGTTCTTTGTTTTTGGCTTCAAGGATCCCCATCGATTATTTTAAGTTAAGATAGGTTAATAAAACTCTAAAGTGGCCCCTTGAAGATTGTAAAGTTGTCCCTTAAGCAGCCAATTCTTTGTCTTTGGCTTTAAGGACCCCCATCGATTATTTTAAGTTAAGATAGGTTAATAAAACTCTAAAGTGGCCCCTTGAAGATTGTAAAGTTGTCCCTTAAGCAGCCAATTCTTTGTCTTTGGCTTTAAGGACCCCCATCGATTATTTTAAGTTAAGATAGGTTAATAAAACTCTAAAGTGGCCCCTTGAAGATTGTAAAGTTGTCCCTTAAGTGGCCAATTTGTTGATCTGGGCTTCTAGAAATCACGTCAACTGTCTTAA